GGCCCGTCGGCCCTGGGGGGGGGGGGCGAGCTAAGACCCAGGCGACTCCTGAAGCGCTCACTCCAGGAGTCGCAGACGGGGAAAATGATACATCGTAACAAGGTAGCGACAGCAGTTAGAGAGCAGAAGGAGGAGAAAACAGCTAGAGCATCAAGGAGGGCAGGTGTGGAGGAGGGAGACCTGACGGGCACGGTGTGTGACGGTGAGGCGTGAGGCGAACACGGCGCGTGACGGTGGCCAGATGTCGTGGAAAGGCGAGCACAGCGTGCGACGGCCACGCACGCCAAGTGAGGCGCAAGTGAGAGGCCCGGCCGAGGATGCACAAGTGTCTCGACCAGCGGTGAGAGGCTGGTGCGGACAGGGCAACGGCTTGGTAGGCGCAATAGTTTTGGCTAAAGAATGGGGAAGGGTGGTGAGTGGTGTTGGCGGTGCGGGCAAGGGCATGGCCACGCCACACCCGCCAAAGTGGCAGGCACGAGGGCCCCTCCCCCACCCACGGAAACCTCTGACGACGGTCCACAGCCCCGCCAAGGTAACCCTCACCCGCCGAGGCAGGCGGAATTAGGGTTTCTGGGGCAGGGACTGGGTGCCGCCGTGGGGTTTCCACTGAGTGTGGGGGAGGTGTGTGCCTTCCGCGGCGGCGGCCAGGTGACTGTGGCGCCAGCAGCCGCCCTGGCTGTCGCTAGGGCAGCCCGCTGCTCGCTGCCCTTCCACCCCACCCCCCAATGCCCTCCACGGTACGGGCGTGGCGGTGGTGTGGTGGCGGTGGCGGCGGAGCAAGGGCAGGCGCGGCGGTCCGCACCCGCAGGGATGGAAGGCACAAAGGCCTCTCACCCTACCCGCAGGAAGCCCCGAGCGACGGCGTGCAGTCCCGCCAAGGGACTCGCCCGCTGAGGTAGGCAAGAGTTCCCGAAGTAAGGGCTCGGGCCCGCCGTGGGGTTTCCACCTGGCGCGGGGGAGGTTTGCGCCTTCCGCAGCGGCGGCCAGCCGAACGGCTGCAGCTGCGGTGCTAGTGGGCGCCCTGGTCAGAGCCTGGGCAGCCACTGGCGCGTTGCCCCCCCTCCCCCCCCCATGTGATCCACCCGATGTAGGAGCAAGAGATGCTGGTGGCTACGGCAGGCTGAGTTGGTGCGAGGTGGCGTGCGTTCCGCGGCCGCCCTGGCCAACGCCAAGGCAGCCGTCGGTGAGTTTGCCCATCCCCCCTTTGGAAGCAGTAGCCCGCCCGCCCCTCCGCCACAAGAGTGGGTAGGTGAAGGTGGGCGAAGGTAGGGGGAGCGGGGGTCGCAAGGAGGCGGGCCAGGAGGGAGTGAAGGTTGGGTAAGGCCATCTCAAGACCAGTGGAAAGAAGGCCCGTCAGCTCGCAGCCTGTGATTCAGGCCCCCCCCCAGGAGGCGCATGAGAGAGCTCTACCCACTGGTCTGCCCTAGTTTGCACTCTCGCGGCGCGTCGGTTAACTAACATACGTTGGTGAGAAAGCCACGGCGGGTTCTGGAGCCACGTATCACCGTGGACCCACTGCATCGCATAGCCAATTGTAGTTGTGCTCTCCGTAAGTGCTGTGCTGCGTGATGGCCACGAGGGTGCTCGTGGCGGTGGGAGTCTGCCGTCGCATGGGAGTGGTGGAGCAGTAATCGCAGAGAATAGGTAGTCGCTGCGGGCCAACTGTTGCTGCTGTTGGACGTATTGGTTGAGGCGCCCAATGAGTGCGGCAGTTTGGTAGGAGGGGAGTACCGAGAAATGGACGTGGAAAGGAGAAGCTGGCCGCTGGTGGTGTCTGCTGTCGTTCTAGTGGAGCACAAGGAATCAAACATGCAGCAGGGGTTTGACGCACCGATGGGCCGCCGTTCGGCTGGTCCCTTCTTGAGGCGTAAGCCTGAGTGGTTGTGGTAAGCCAGGGGGGAGTCTCCTGATTCACCAGAGTGGTCGGCTAGCTGGTAGACCTGTGCGAAAGGGGGCCACGGTGTCCATAGTGGCACCGCCTCAGTTGTACTCGCAGTGTCGCTGCTTGCTTGCCATCTGATGCGGTGGTGTCTGGCTTGGACTTGTGGGTAGTCTTAGCGGCGATGGCCTGCGTGACAGCATTGTCCAGGTTGTCGTACGCGAGGCAGGCCGCACCTTCGTTGTCCTAGTGGGTAGCGCTCGTGTCGGCTACCAGCGGTGGGTACATCGTGTCGTCGATGTCGTTGCCCGCTGTCTGGATGCTGCTGTTCGCGGTCATGATGCGAGCTGGTGCCGGCTTACGCTGTGCAGGATCGGTGGAACAGGCGTCGGGGAGAAAATAGGGGAAACAAGTCCCCGCTGAGGGTGTGGTGATGCGGAGCAGGTCTCGCTTCTGCGACGTGGGGCCTGCCGTGTCGGGGCCCGAGTGCGTAGGCTCTGCTGCGCAGTCGCTTTGTTCGGGGGCGCGCAGGCATGGATTAGCGATCCATGGATTTGGCGCGCGGTCGCCAAATCCATGGATCGGGGGAACTGCCCTCCCCAAAAGGCGGCCGGTGCCGCCTCGTCCGGCGGCAGAAATCCACGATTTCCCATGGGAACGGGACCCGTCGCTAATCCTTGCCCTCTTTAATCCATGTTTGCGATCGCCTGATTTGTGTCGCGGTAATCGGTTCTCCTGGCGTGTGGTGGTTGCCCGCGATGTCCCCCACGTCTGGTGAACCCCCCATGCCACCTCCGTCACGGGTCGTAGGTTGCCCAGCGATGCGGCTCGGTGGGGCGGCTGCCTGGGCCTCGAGATCACCTCGGTGCTCTTGTCGATGGCTCTGTTGGCAGCGTCCCGCTGAGAAAACGAGATCGCGAACGTCGCCGCCTCTGGCGTAGGGTTGTACGGTCAAGACACAATATTCAGACTGCACGTCAGGAATCTCAAGTGCACTCTAAACGGCCAAATGCTTAAAAGTGCACGTCGCAAGAAGGCGCACTCGATACGCGGTTGTTCAGCGTTTCGCGTGCACTTCCGTTTTTATGAAAAAAAAAAATTAGAGTGCACTTCCGAGCTCTTGGGAAAAAACAACGTTTAGAACGCACTTCTGTTTCCAGAATGTCGAGCTGGACCGGCAATCCATGGGGTTACACGCGGCCTATCGGCCACCGCAGGCCCGAACCACCTCTTCCTCCTCCTTCTCCTCCTCTTCCTCCTCTTGTCACGCGGACGTTTAACATTCTCCTCCTCCTCCTCCTCCTCCTCCTCCTCCTCCTCCTACGCACAGCCGAAGTGATACCCATGGCATAGCGAGGATGGATGGGGACAGGAGGCAGGGGATAGGGAGGGGAGAGGCCAGCACTACACACGCATGCCCAGGAAAGTGGCAAGGTGAACAGATCGCCAACGTAAAAACGTTTAGCGTGCACGTCCGCGTTCAACATAGAAACGTATAGAGCGCACGTCCGTTTTAGGTATAAAAAGGGGTCGGGAAGGAAAGACGAGTGCACGGACGGTGAGTGTCACTTTGTCCCCGGAGGGGCGCCGTACACTTTAAGTACTGTGTTTGGATCATAGTGTATTCCCTGCTTGATGTGTGTGAGGAGGTCGCGTCGTTCCCGAACGGCTGCTGCTGGCGTCGGTCGATCCGTGCGGTCATCAGCGATCGGGTATGTAATTAACCATCGTGGCCAGCTGGTGGTTTATGACAAAGCCAGGACGATCTGCGGTACGGTCATCGTGAATCGTCGTGCTGCTGGAAGTGCATCGTAGCACACGAAGCAGTTGAGGGGGGCAGCGACGCAGGCCATCACCATCACGATGTCGCACTCGCATCTCAAGATGCGGTCGAGGTTTTTGCCCCAGTCGACCCCGCGTCGTTGAGGCCTGCGGCGCCTTGGCCCCCGCGGACTCCTGGATACCAGCGAATTTCAGCGAATTCCTCCTCGATTGGCTTTCGGGTCATAGCTCGGCTCTCTGGCGGTCAATTGGGACGATCCGGGCACCCCCGAACGCCCTCGGCGAGGCGCAACCGCTGGAAATGCATCCCGAGGCTGGAAATCCACCAAGAACCAACGAAAACGCAAAAACAAAAAACCTCGAGCCGTGCTGCCCCTCATCCATCGGACCCCTCGATCACCTCGTTTTCCTCTTCCTCCTCCTCCCTCCCTCCCTCCCTGCCTCCCTCCCTCCCTCCGTGGAGGGCACGGCTACGGCGGGGGAAAGGGGTGCTGGAAGGGTTGGCATCAGCACCACCGCCAGCACGAGTACTTGGTAGCGTCCAAAACCCGGAGAGCAAAGAGAACACATACCGGAAAGCTCTCCTGGCGAGCCCTCGGACGCTCTCGTGAAGCGCTTCTGGGGCTCTGGGGGGCTCCCCTGCAGCGCTTCTGAAGCGCTGCCAGGAACGCTTCCACGCGTGCCTGCACGCGTGCACGCACGCGTGGACGCTTGCCGGAAGCGCTCCCGGACCAGCTGCCGGGTCGGGCGAGGCGCTGCGAGGCTCGTGGACCGCCGTGGAGGAGCTCCTGGCGGGCACCACCACCGTCCGGCTTCTAATCTAAAACCCTCTAGCTCTCAGAGAGCTCTCCGGGAATTACGACGATGAGGCGACGCACCTTAGCTCTCATCGCGATCGCGACTGCGACCGCCGCCGTGAATAGTCAGTTGACCGTCGCGGAGGTCGCCCGTCACCAGACCTACTTCGACACCACCTCCAGCGACGACGTCCACGAGGAGCGCATCCAGCGCATGTGCAAGAAGATGCAGAAGGTGGACCCTGTCTACGCCAACTACCTCAAGGAGAAGGAGACTGCCGCTCGCCAAGCACATCATGAAGAAGGTGACCGGCGTGGCGTTCAAACCCTCGGAAACCCAGACGCCGCCCAAAGCGCCGTTCCCCCCGGCCCCCCCGGCTGGCGGTGCAGATGCCGTTACGACACTCAGCCGCGCTGAACAGAGCTGGTTGCTGCAAGTCCTGGGCATGGACAAACTCCCAGCCGACCTAGACTCGAGCACGAAGGTCCTTGCGAAGATGATCTCCGATAAGATGTCTACCGGCTCCAAGGCGAAGCAGGAGACCGCTCAGGTGAACAAGATGCTGGTGAACCACATGGACGACCTGCCCTCGGAGAAGAAGGACAAGTCCCTTGCCGTGATCACGATCATCACTGGCCGTGGCGACTGAGGGCCAGATGCAGATTTTCTGCCAGAGCAATGATTCGGGGACGCTGGCTCGCGGGACGCGCCGGCAGTGGAGGTCATCGGGTACTCTGCCTGCCGTCCTTCTTTTCTGCCAGGTCGCCCTCGTGGGCTTCGTCCTTTACAGCGCCGCTTGCCCTCCTTCGCCTCCGATTGAGAGCTACGCCGACGCTTAGAAGGCCGATTGGACACTCAAGTCATCTCAAGTTCTCGCACTCGGGTGCGGCACGTGGCCGCCAGTGCGTGGCGGAGCTGCTCGGCGTGCCGACTCCACAGTTTTGTGAGAGCCTGCGGAGCAGGCAGAGATATTCGGCGATTCTCATGGAAAGCTTCGGGATCTGTGGCGCGACGTGGACTCCGATACCTGCGGTGGGCCCTACTGGATGACACCATCGCCGAGCTGGGCGCCGAGGTGCCCGTCACAGGCTTTGGCTGGGAGGTGGGTCTTCCTCCCTCCCTCCCCTCCCCTCCCCGCCCCTCCCTGTTCACAGATTGTTTGCCCCTCACCTTCCACTTTTCCTCCCTCAGCTCTGCTTCCGACCACTGCCGCCTGTGCTCGAGCCTGGAGAGCACTGTGCCCATCCGTGCTCGCCGCACAGCGCGGGGCCGCACGCCAGGCCAAATCGCACGTGGCGGCCGCCGGGCCACGAGGAGATACAGCGTACTCCCTCCATCCCTCCCTCCCTCCCTTCCTCCGTTGCTCCCTCCTCATTGCTCCTCCTGCTCCTCCTGCTCCTCTTGCTCCTCCTCCTCCTCCTCCTCCTCCTCCTCCTCCTCCTCCTCCTCCTCCTCCTCCATCGGACCCCTCGATCACCAGCACCCGCGGCGCCATGCTGGCGCGTGTGGTGCCGCGCTCGGGAGCTCGGCCGTCCTGGAAAGCGCCGGCGCCCCCGCGGGCGCCCGCCGCCGCGCTAACGAACGGGCGGCGCGCCGGTCCCCGGCCCGCTCGGCGCTGGCCGCTCGGGCCGCCTCGGCGCGGCAGATTGCCGCACGGCGCATCGCGCCGACTCCACCTCCTCGCCCTCCTCCTCCCCGTTTCTTCCTCCTTGTTTACGCTGGGCGGACCTTTTGTTTCGGATTTGTTGCGGTTTCTGTACCTCCCCTCTCTGGTCCTGTTTTCCTCCTCCTCCTCCCTCCTCCTCCTCCTCCTCCTCCTGCTCCTGCTGCTGCTCTCCTTCCTCCTCCTCCTCCCTCCCTCCTCCTCCTCCTGCCTCCTCCTCTCCTCCTACTCCTCCTCCTCCTCCTCCTCCTCCTCCTCCTCCTCCTCCTCCTCCTCCTCCTCCTCCAGCCCCCTCTCGCCGGCGCGCGCGCGGAGGGGGGCGCTCGCGGCAGGGGCAGCGGCGAGGGCGAGGAGCAGGGCGAGTGGAGGAGGATGAGGCGGGGAGGCCGAGGGGCAGCCTGGGCGGCGACGAGGGAGAAAATAGGGCGACGAATTCAATGCACATCCACTGCTCCCTGGCCAGGCCCATCATGAACCCAGCAGCGGCGTATACGCCACGCCCTCCTGGCTCGGTCAGGAGGGCGCATACACAGCTCCTGGGCCCAGGAAGGGCCCGGCCAGGGGGCAGTGGATAAGTATAGAGTTCGTCGCCTGAGAAAAGCAGGGCGAGGGCGAGGGAGGCAGGACGAGGCAGGGCGAGCACGTATGACGACGAGGAGGGGAGTGAGGTGAGGAGGGCGAGGAGGAAGACGGGACAACTGCGAAGCAGGACGGCGAGGAGAGGGCGGGCCAGATTACAAGGACGGGGTAGAAAGCAACGCTTTGCCGCGTGATGGAGCCAAGTGGTGGCCGTGTCGTGCATGCACGGGTGCCCAGCGTTCACCAAGCGGAGGAAGGAAGAAGGAAGGCTGATGGAGAGATATTGAGTGCCCCCATACCACTGGCCGCGTACAAGTTGCCTGGGATGTTGGATGGCTAATGCAGGAACTGTCTCTTTTTTCACATTTGCGGGGCTGCAGCATCGTGAACGATTCGCGCAGGTGGTTCCCATACCCACGGCTGATTGTGGACGCCCGTCAGTTCAGGGGCACGGCCCAATAGGCTTCGCGTGGGTCGCAGTATGTGAGCCACGTATGGCGGGTTCCAGGAACCCTGACCCCCCCAAAAAATGTTGTCGTCTCATGGGGGCGCATCATACTTACTTCAGCCAGCCTTCCGCCAGCCTTCCGCCAGCGGAGGCGGCCTGCTTCTACTTCCGCCAGCCTCCGCCGCCCCTCCGCCGCCTTCCGCGAGACGCCCGCCGCGAGCTGACGACTCCTTCGATCCTCGAAGGCGAGGCCCTTTCTGGAGCGCCTCCTATACACTCGGTCGTGTGGGCCCCTGCCCGGAACATCGTGCACGCGTGCTGCTGAGCGCCTCACGCTCGCGAACCTGCCCGGGAGAGTGGCCACCATCCACCGTGCGCGGCGGCGGCCGCGAACACACTCTCACGGTCGTGCTCCTGCCCCCGAGTGGACCGCCACATAGCATCTTTCGCGCGTCGCCGCTGCCATCCCAGGATTGTGCTGCTCCCATCGTACTTAAGGCCCACATCCCAGAAATGATTTCGAGCACCCGGGAAAGTGTCGAAAGAGTGTCGAAACAGTGTCAAAACAGTGTCGGACGAGCGTCTCCCAAGGCCAGACACGTGAAAACCCTGTAGTTTCGGTACCTTTTTGGTGCTCGACATTCTTTCTGGTGATCAGGAGGCGGGCCCCGGGTCATACCCCGTGAGGCCCCGCTTTCTCGCGGTGGCGGCCGCGAACACACTCCCACGGCCATGCTCTGCAATGGGGCATCCTTCGCGCAGTGCCGCTGCCATCCCAGGAGGCGGGCCCTGGGTTATACCCCGTGAGGCCCCGTCGTCCTCGCGGCGGCGGCCGCGAACACACTCTCACGGCCATGCCCCGCAACAGGGCATCCTCCGCGCGGCGCCCCGGCCTTCCCAAGAGGCGCGGGCCCCGGGTCAGACCCCGTCAGGCCCCGTCGTCCTCGCGGCGGCGGCCGCGAACGTCCGCCAGCGTGCCGGCACGGAGTGGGCGAGTTGGGCGTGCCCGCGAACGTCCGCCAACGCGCCTGCGAACGTCCGCAGGTGTGCCCGCCACGGGAACGGAAAGGGCGCTTGTGTGCAGGGGCCGCACGGCTGCGCCTCTGGCTTGTTCCTCGGCGTGTCTTCCGCTCTGCGTACTCCCTCGCCCGACGCACAGCTTCTAGAAGCGCATGGTGGCGATCTGGATCCTCGGGCCCTCAGCAGTGGAAGACAACCAAGCGCTGGAAAGCGTCGTGGCCTTGGCGTGGAAAGGTTTTCACGCGACTGTGCGCTCTGGGGAACTTTGACGTTCAAAGCTGTGTACGTCTCCGCGAACTCCAGGGGCCTGGGGACCTTAGCTTTTTGTATCACAGTTCGCTCCTGAAATTGTGTCGTTGAAGGTCTTGAGGGGCCTCTTGGGAGGCTCTGGGAGAGGCCTCTTGGGGTCCTCTTGGGGCTCTTTTCGGCAGTTTCCGGGCCCTCTTGGGACGTTTGGGGGCCCTCTTGGGCCGTCCTGGGGCCCTTGTGGACCGTCTTGAGGGGCTTTGGCAGGCTTTGGGCGCTCTCGGAGCCCTCTGGGATCCTCCTGTGGCCCCATTGAGCCTTGAGGCTCTCCTGGGAGCCGCTTGGAGCTCTGTGGATCTTTCCTTGTGCCGTCGTGGGGCTCTCTTGGGCTGTCTTGAGGCGCTGTTGAGTCGTTTAGAGGCCCTCAAGGGAGCCTTTGGAGACGTTTTGGGGCGATCTCGGAGGCCTCCAGGGCCGTCTTTGGCTGCTTTGGGCCCGAAAAGGTGAGAACCCCCAAATCCTTCAAAAATCGTAGGAAAATCAATCATTTTCCCTGCGTCCCTCTTGGAGGTTCTCGAGGGGGCCTCTTGGGGCGTCTGCGGGGCCTTTGAGACCGTCTTGGGGCCATCGACGCCCCTCGTGGAGCTCTCTTGGGCCGTCTTGGGACCTCTTGGGCCTCTCTTGTGGGCCGTCTTGTAGCTATCTTGAGCCGTCTTGGGTGAACCTTCGGCCATCTTGGGGTCCTTGAGACCTCCTGGGCCGAAAGAGCTGCCAACGTGGCCCCCAGAGGGCATGCTCGAAGATCTCCCCCAGCCCCCCCCCGCCGGGCACCCCCTCATTAGGGCTAAAGCCATGTGCAGAACTTCTCTCGCTAGCGTTTTTTGCCGTCATGCTCCTGTGTTCCCTCTGGGAGTGTTGGTTTCCATGTTTTCTCGGGCCGACCCCCTCCCCGGTTCGCAATCGCACGCGTAGACCGCCCCCCTGAAATCGCTACCAAGCGCTCTATTCGGCCTCCATGCGGCCAAGACGGCCTTCAAGACGGCTTCCAAGACAGCCAAGCCGACACCAAAACGGCTCAAGATGGTCAAAGACGGCTCAAAAGGCTCCCAAGACGGCCTCAAGACAGCCCAAGAGACCCCCAACATGACCCCAAAGTACTCCGAGCGGCGCTCCAGGATAGCCCGATGAGACAAACATCATGGATTTCCATTAGGTTGTTCTCAGATGTTGAGATTCTCGTCTGTTTGGGTCTCCGACCGCTCAAGACGACCAAAGAGGCCTCCAATATAGTTCCAAGACGGCCCGCGAGGCTCCCAAGGGGGCCCCAAGATGGCCCAAGAGGCTCCCAAGTGGGCCTCCAGGTGGCCATCAAGCGCCCCGAGAAGGCACCACGACAGCCCAAACAGGCCCCCAAGACGCCCTCCGACGAGCCAAGAGCTCCCTAGGACAGCCTCGGAGGCCCCAAGAAGACCCTGAGAGACCCCAGGAAGCCCCTGAGAGGCCCCCACGAGGCTCACAGGAAGCACCCAGGCGGCCCCAAGAAAGGTGTCAATGAGCCCTTCTCCCCATCGTCTTCATAGCTCCCATATCCTCCTCATCGTCGTGTTCTCCCCCCTCCATCTCTTCTTCCTTCAGACCGCATACCGCGAGGACGAAGACGAGGTCGAGGTCACGCCCTTCCCAATTCAGACCA